CCTGCCCGGGGCCCGCTGTCCTGACCAGGGGCCTGCAGATGAGCAGATGAACTGGTTTCCTGCCATGCCTTCCCCTGGAGGCCCCAGACTCCAGCACTTTCCCTTAAGCGTTAAGAAGTTAAACCGAGTCTATGGGCCATTTTGTCCTTTTCCCAGCAAATTCACCGGCTTGTTACCCTCACTGGGTTGCCGGCTGTTAGGTGGGTCAGGGCGGCCTAGGGACGTGGGGCCCTCCTGCCTCAGGCATAGCCGGTGCCGCCTTGGCCTTTCCCTCCCTTTTCCTTCACTGCACCCGCCAGCCGGCTCGACCTCTGACTCCTGTGACAGGAACCTGGTGGCCCATAGAGCCAGGGAGTCAACCTGTGCCTTTGTCATCATCTTAAGGCACGAGTGAAACTGCCGCCTCTTCTTAAGAATCTCTGGAGTCTCATGCCAGCTTCCACGACGGCTGGAACTGGCTGGAAGCCGGTGCTCTCTGCCCGGTTCGTGTGTCTGCACCAGAGGTCGGCCGACTTCCTAGAGGGCCGGGTCTTTGTCGTCCTCAGCCTCATGGGCCCTGCAGCGTCTGTCACTCCTGCTCATCCACCCGGCACCACGGGTGTCACAAAGAAGCAGCCACAGACATACAGGAACCCGGGGGCAAGGCCGTGTTCCAGCAAAACTTTGTTTCGGAAACAGGTGGCAGGCTGGACTTGTCCAGTTCGTTTTTAGGCTGTTGCTGTGTCTTGATCTGGAAGCTACTTTTATTTTCCAGAAATTGCCATTATTTAAGGAAAACATTTCAACAACTTACACTTGCCTGATTTTTCTGTTTGTTTGTTTTGACCAAGCAAACGCGCCTCCTCGGAGGATTTCTGTCCAGTACCGTCCTCCCACATTGCCTCCTTGGTTCGGAGTGACAGGAGACCTGGGTTCTCCCAATTTGGGGGCATGTTAGGGGAGGGGCTGCCCTGCTCCTCGGCCACCTTCTCTGCCCCATGGGCCTCCCTGTGCCACCACATCCCCCCCCCCATCTGGCCCCTGCCTCTGGCCTCGGGAGCCACCGACCCTGGGGCTGGGGTGTTCCCACAGCCCTCAGACGAGGAGAACGGTGACAACAGCAGTGAGTGTGTGGTGTGCCTGTCGGACCTGCGGGACACGCTCATCCTGCCCTGCCGCCACCTGTGCCTGTGCAACTCGTGTGCCGACACACTGCGCTACCAGGCCAGCAGCTGCCCCATCTGCCGGCTGCGTGAGTGGGGCTGTGGGTGCGGGGCAGCGGCAGGGAGCGCGCGGCACGGCGGTTGGCATGGGCGAGTGACACCCATGGCCATGGCGGTGGCACGTTCTGCCTCCCGGAAAGTTAGGCTCAGGCCAAGTGTCCAGGAGGGGCTCCTGGGCAGCGTGTGCTGTGAGCCGCACAATTAGTGAGTCAGATCTTTATTTTAAAGAGTTTGGTGAGAAATTACAGTGAAATGAAAAGTGTGCTGCGTGTAAATGATCAAGGAATTAAATTTGGTTTCCTCGAGCATCCAGACCCTCTCAGTCAAAAGTCGTCACGTTGGGACTAATTCAGATTAAAATATTCCCTGATAGGATGTAATGGTTCTCCAGGTGTAAATCCTGCTGGTGAGGGATTGGGTGTTGGGGGGAGAGCGCCCTCCTGTGGGAGCTGAGGGACATTTTCTTTCCCGAGGCAAATGATGGCTTTTTTTTAAAGCAGAGATAAAGACTATCAGATTTAAGTCACTTTCAGAAATAATGGATTGGTAGATATAAAACTCTTAAGTATAAAGTTATCTCTTTATGGCTACATTTAGTTCTTGGATTCATGACTGTTGACTATAAAACTTCTTTTTTAAAAACAGTTTACAGCTACAATAAAATTATACTTCAAAGCAATTAATCAGCAGACATGGACTTAGGAAACCCTGGAGGGAAAAAGGAAAGTGTTTTAAAAATAACAAAGCTTAGGTTGATTTTTTTAATGCAAATTTGATCTTTATAACAAAGTGTTCTTTGCCCTATGAATATGTTTAGCATACTCAAAAACCTAACTTGGATTCAATAATTCTATATTGGTAACATATCATTTTACTTTGTCTCCCAATTTGATTTACTTCAGTTGTTTTTAGTGAATTACATTCCAGGTTAAAGGTATTCTGTTGTTAGTATACACAGTCAGAGTAGACAAACGGAGGGCATTTTAAAGGCATTTGTTAAATCATATATATTTCATTAAAATTTTTTTCTTCTAGTTTTATTGAGATATAATTGACTTACAGAACTGTGTAAGTTTAAGATGTACAATGTAATGATTTGATTTACATACATCATGACATGATTATCACAGTTTAATAAACATCTATCATCTCATATAGATACAAAATTAAAGAAATAAAAAAACATTTTTTGTGATGAGAACTTTTAGGGTTTACTCCCTTAGCAGCTTTCATACGTAACATGCAGCAGTGATTATACTTACCGTGTTGTACATTAGATCTCTGGTACTTATTTATCTTATAGCTGGATGTCTGTACCTTTTGACCATCTTCGTCCAGTTCCCCCTCCCCGCACACCCACCTCTGGTAACCACAGATCTGATCTCTTTCTGTGTGGTTGGCTGGTTGGTTGGTTTTGGATTATAACCGACCTACAACACTGTTTAGTTCCTGTTAAACAACATAGTGATTTTTTTTCTTGTACATTTGGAAACAATCACAATGAAGTCTAGTTACACTCTGTCACCATACAAAGATATTACATAGTTATGGATACATATTTACATATGACTGTATTTCCCACACTGTGTGGTTCAAACCTGTGACTCATTTATTTTGCAACTGGAAGTCTGCACCTCTTCATCTTACTCACCTATGTCTTTCCTCTCCCCACCTCTGTCTCACCTGGTAACCACGTGCTTGTTCTCACTATCTATAACTGTTTCTGTTTTGTTATGTTTGTTCATTTATTTTGTTTTTTAGATTCCACTTGTAAGTGAAATCACAGAGTATTTGTCATTCTGCATCTGACCTATGTCATTTAGCATAATAGCTTCTAGGTCCTTCCATGTTGTTGCAAATGGCAAGATTGTATCTTTTTCTGGCTGAGTAATAGTCTGTTACATGTAAATATGCCACATCTTCTTTATTCATTCATCTGTTGACAGGCTCTTAGGTTGCTTTCATATCTTGGCAATTGTAAATAGTGCTGCAAAGAACATGGGGGTGCATGTATCTTTTCTAATTAGTATTTTTGTTTCTTTTGATAAATACCCAGGGGTGGAATTGCTGGGTCATATGGTAGTTCTGTTTTTTAACTTTTTGAGGAACCTCCATCCTGTTTTCTGTAGTGGCTGCCCCACCAACATGACATGAGGACTCCCTTTTCTCCACTTCCTCCTCAGCACTTGTTACTTATTTTTCTGACAGTAGTCATTCTGACAGGTGTGAGGTGTGGTTTTGATTTGCATTTCCCTGATGGTTAGTGATGCTGAACATCTTTTCATGTGCAGTATGGAAAAATGTCTATTCAGATCCTCTGCGCATTTTTTAATCGGGTTGTTTGTTTTGACGTCGAGTTGCCAGTGTCTGGGTCAGACTGTGTGCTTTTAGTTGGCTGACAGGTGTAACTTGCAGCTACATTCACTGTCTGGTGTACAGTCCAGGGTTTGGCAGGTGAGAGGCCGGCTGTGTCCTGCCTGCCACCCCTAGAAGCTCTACTGGAGCTGAAGCCACGCTGTCTGGGCCTCGCCTGTCTCCCTCCCTCCCTCCCGGGGCTGTTCTGCCTCTGCCTCGGAAATGTGGCTTGTCCTGGGAGTGCTGGGGGGTGGGTGGGTGGGGGTCAGTGTCCCCGAAACTTGCGGGTCTCGGTGGTGCTGTCCCGTGCCTGGCGTGAACCCCGTCCTTCTGCCGCAGCTTTCCGGGCCCTTCTGCAGATCCGAGCGGTTAGGAAGAAGCCTGGAGCCCTGTCCCCCATCTCTTTCAGCCCTGTTCTGGCCCAGAACATGGACCACGACGAGCATTCTGTAAGTGCCTCTTCCTTCCCGCCTTGGAAGGTGTTGGGGTGGAGAGAAGAGGGGTCTGGAGGAAGCCCCCAGCCATCATGCAGGCCCCGCTTTCGTGTTAGGACAGTGTCTGGCTCCTGGTGGGGCGGGTTGGTCAGGAGGCCCTGGTGGTGTGGCCAGGAGGGGGCTGTCCAGGCTGTGCCCTCAGGGCTGTGCCACGCCAGGACCCAGACTGTCTGGCCAGCTCCCCTGCTTGCCAGCTCTCTGGGCCTCTGGCTCATTTGTCCAGCAGGCCAGGTGTGGTCCCAGCAGGCAGCTGTCAGGGTGTTGGGGTGATGCAGGTCAGCCCAATGAGCCCTGGCTTCCGGGATGCTGTTGCTTCTGCCAGTAGCAGATCATGTGATGCAGGGGCCTTCCTTGAGTTAGAGCCATGCTGTCTGTCACCTTCACTCCACCAAGCCGGGCAGCCAGGGGCTCTGTGCTCTTGGGAAGTGAGGTGTCCTCCAAAGGGTGACTGTGACATCCTCTGCCCACTCCTGGCCCACCTGTCTCCTGCCTGGGTGCACAGGAGGGCACCCGGCAGCCATCCACCTGGCTTGCTTCCCAAGAAGCTGTGTGTTAGACCTTGTTGCAGCAGCCGAGGAAGTCAGACTTGGGCCTCAGGGACCTCGAGAGCAAAATGGGCAGGGACACAGAGACAGGGAGGGAGAGAGACACAGAAATGTAGAGAGACATGGAGAGAGGGCAGGAGACAGATGGGGGCAAGGTTAGGAAGGGAGAGCAGAGAGGTGGGCCAACAGGGAGAAAGGAATGGAAAGAGACACACACAGACGGGCGTGGGGCCTGCAAGGGTGGACACATGGGGGCAGAAGGACCGAGGATGGACGTGGGGCCGGCCCGGCTCGAGCTCCCGGGTCCCAGCTGGCTTCGAGCGTTGTCAGCCAGCAAGCCCGTTTTCTTGGCTCTTGATTGAGGTTGTTTGGATCTCGTGATTCTTAAAGGCCCTGCCAGCTGCCTGAAAAGGGAAGAGAAGCAAAGCCCTTGGGTTGGCACAGCCACAGACAGGCTCCTGCACTCGGCCAGCGGGGGTGGTGTGCTCGGCCCAGCGGTTCTGAACATGGGGTCTTTTAAAAGTCTGGGAATTTTGTCTAAGACAGATTTCTGGCTTTTCTCTCAAATCTGAAGGTGTGGTCTTGCCACTTGATGGGGCAAAGTTGCCCCTTGGGGTTGTGGTGCCCATTACCTCACTTCCCCCCTCCCCTGGGCCAGCCACACTGTTTAGCCTTCTGGGCCCCTGTTGACACCAGGCCCTCCAGCCATTTAACATTAGACTTGATTTCGGAACACAGCAGACTTTCTCCAACAACACGTTTTGGGGGGAGAGGGGACTGGCACTGAGGTGTGATCTGCCCCTGAGGGAGGAGTCTCGCTCTTGTTTGGAGGAATGGGCCTGGGTGGTGGGGTTTTATTGTTGCCTGTGTGCTCCTCTCCCGGTTTCTGCCCTGGCGTCTGAGGGTCAGGCAGGACCCTCCTGTGTCTGTCCCTCTTGTCCTGAAAGCCGAGGTGCCTCCCACAGTGCAGGGCAGCCTGGGGCGTGGATGGTAACCTCACACATGCCAGAGGGTCAGCGCCCCCCCTCTCTGGAGTCTACGATTCCAAGTAAATGGCCCTGTTCTCTGCCATGCTCCCTGCACGAGCAGCCTCCCCGAGGTCCCAGGGAGCCCAAAGGAGATGTTTTCTCTAGTGAGTCTGTTACGATCACTACAGGGTGGGGGTGATTGGGGGGTTTAGCTCCACTTTTAGGAGTTAGACTTGGTGATAAGTAGATGAGACCGTGCCGAGCCTCAAAGAGGTGTCCAGGGCCTCAGGGTCCCTTCTCTGTGCCCAGCGGAGCCCACATGTGGGGAGGACCTGGCCACTTCCATGCCCAGCCTGGCCAGGACCTGCTGCTTGGGGTTACCCAGACCAGGGTGGCCCCCAGGGATGGGGACCAACTCTTTTAAGAGCTGCTTGGATGTGCAGGCCCAGCCCACCCAGGCCCTGAGGCAGAACCAGTGCTTGGCCAGGTCCCCGTGATTCAATGTGTTGAATTTGCAAAGCGCTGGCTCACGGCATGCCCAGAGGCCAGCGACCGGGGAGACCCCATCCAGCCAGCTCCAGCTCCAGCACCGCAATGGGGTGGCAGCGGTAAAACCTATGATTTTTATCTTGACAGTGTCCCTTTAAAAAATCAAAGTCGCACCCTGCCTCACTGGCCAGCAAGAAACCTAAAAGGGAAACAGTAAGTGTGTTCGGCCCCATGGCTCCGTCTTTGCCCCGCGCCCTCATCACTGCACCAGTGACCAGTACGGGAAGTCACTCTCACCCCCAGCTCACGTGTTTGGTTAATTTAATCTGTCAAATCCACTCTCCCCATTCCCAGTGTCTCTGCCCAGGAAGGGAGTTTTGTGGAACAAGCAAAGCTCAAGGTCTGTCGGCAAAAAGCCAGTCTCGCAGCCCCGCCGGGCAGCAGCGCCGGCCCCGGGCGCCCCTGCTCGCCAGCTCTGCTTCTGCCCATGGTCTCCTGAGCACCCTTGTTTCCCTTTTTCTTCTTGCTGGCAGTGGGGTGACGGTGGAGGTGGAACTCAGGCCGCCGCTCTTGTGCCCACAGCATCCCCGTGCTTCTTGTCCTGCATCCCTGCTCTGCGGGCTGCACTCTTGGTTCTCTCCCACTTGCCCTCCATCCCAGGGAGCATGCTGGGGCCAGGCAGGCCTCTGCCGAGCCCCAAGCCCCCTTGGTAGAACGCAGAGAGTCAGGGTCACCGAGGGTCAGCTGAGAGAGGGGTCTTCTCCTTGTTTCGAGGGGCGGGAGCAGCTTTAGAGTAATTATGTGCCTTTAAACTGAAGGCACGTTGGGAGTGAATGCAGGGGACCCAGGGGGCGCTTGCTGGGGGCAGGAAGCTGCCCCCTGCAGCCTCCCTGTTCCCCAGGGCCACTCTGTCACCTCCCCAGAAGGCCAGCTGGGCAGGTAGGAGCCCATGTAAGAGCTGCCCTTCACTTTGTTAATGAAGAGTGAGGGCAGGTGGCCACCCTGCCCAGCCCCACGGTGCCCGAGGCCTGACTGACGTCCACCTGATGTCTCCACTCCCCCTTTGCTTTAACCCTAAAGCAAGGCTCAGCCTATTGACTTGATCCACTCCCAGAGCGGGCAGAACTGGTTCTGAGCAGGATGGCCATTAGATTCACCCGGAGTACGTGTCAGCCCTGCGGCTGCTTGTCCCAGGCCACGGGGCTCACAGCCTGGCCGGGCCCCTGTGCCAGGCAGGGCTCCGCAGGCAGGTCCTCTCCGGCCTGGATCACGGCGTTCCTGCTGGTTTCTCCCACCTCTGCCATGGCTTCGCTCCCCTCCTGCTCCTGCTGCTCCTCCCACTAACCCTCTCTCACTCTCTGCCCCAATCAGGCAGGAGTAGAAAGCCAGGTAGGGGCTGGGGTGGCTTTCTGAGTGCTCTCTTTCCCTCCGTCCTGGGCACCGACTGGGGCACTTGGGCGTCCAGGGCTGCATGCTGCAGCTGATGGCCGAGGGAGCCCTGAGCAGGGGTGTCTGATGCTGCTCCGGACTTCTTGGCACCCCTTGAGGGAGGGGGGTATGAGTCCCTAGAAGGCAGAGTGGACAGGACATGATCAGAGAGTAGTTCTGGGGAGTAGACCCTCCCTGGAACACAAGGCCAGTGTCTGGGGCTTTGTCGCTGTGGGCAGTGGGCAGGGAGCCTGATCGGCCAGTCCCTCACCTGCGCTTGTCCCTGCAGAGCTCTGACAGCATCCCGCCCGGCTACGAGCCCATCTCCCTGCTCGAGGCGCTCAACGGCCTTCGGGCCGTCTCCCCGGCTATCCCCTCGGCCCCCCTTTATGAAGAGATCACCTACTCGGGCGTCTCGGATGGCCTGTCTCAGGCCAGTTGTCCACTCGCTGGGATCGATCGGATCATGGAAAGCAGCCACCAGAAGGGCAAGCCCCGGAGCAAGTCCCCTGACAGGTGAGGCCAGGCCAGCATGCCCCCCGGGAAAGGTGCGTGGGACCCTCCAGGTACACATCACCCTTGTTTGTGACCCTGAGGTTGGGCCCACCTCGCTTGGTGATTACAGGGTCCTCATCACTGATCAGTGACCTTCAGGGCCACACGGTAAGGATCAGTTGTGGTCCCTTGGACACTTGGAGGTGCCTGTGACCAGCCCTGCTGTTTAGTCTTTCCTCACATGCGTGCTGGTTTTCTAGAAAAGTGTAAAGGAAGTACAGGTTCTATAAAACCAGCCACTGGCCCTGAGCCTTATACGTGTGGCAGAGACTCCGAAGATACAAAGGGAAACAGGAGGAAACATGGGGGCCTCTCCTGCTGCTTCCCCAGCGCCCCCACCCCCAAGGCTCTACCCTTTCTCTGGAAACAGTGCCAGGTGTGGCCTGTGGGTGCAGGTGGCGGGCCTCCTGTTAACACACACACGGGGCAGGGGGTGCTGCTCCTCAGGACTGGCACACTTCCCTTGCTCCCCCAGAGCCTTGGCTTGGGTGGGGTTGGCGTGGCTCATCCACTTGTCCTCCGCCCTCTCTGTCCCCAGCACCCTGCGGTCCCCATCGTCCCCCATCCAGGAAGAGGACAACGCGGAGGCTCCGCCCCCGCCGAGTGGGGCCGGGCTGGCGCTGAGCAGCTCCCCCGAGGTGAGACCCCCACCCGCGCTCCTCCGTCCTGCCCTTGTTTCTTCTGTCCCCACTGCCCGCCCGCTGTCCTCCGGACGCCGGGCCCCGCCCCACCACTCCCTCACGAGTCTGCACCGGCTCCTGTGACTTCTGCCAGCATCGGCGTCCTCGTCTGTGGGGCGGAGCCCTGCGGAGGCTGCAGGGGGCGCCGCGGGAAGCACAGGTGGTCGGTCCTGGCCAGCGTGTCCGGGACTGGACTCACCCTGTGGCCTCCCCTGGCAGCCCAATGCCGGGCTGTCAGCTCTAGGGCTCCAGGCACGTTTTCCTTTGTTTCCTAGAGCTTCACCACAGAGGAGGTTGACGAGACTTCGTCCCTAAAGCAAGGTAAGCCCTCTCCTCCCGGGGCTCTCGTGCCCCTGCTGGGGAAGAGGCGGGGCCTCTGGGGCTCTCTGCAGGCTCCTTCAAGCTGTGCTGGCCGCCCACCTGGGGTCACACACTTCAGTTCCTACACAATCTCACAGAGAACAGCCCCTGGCCACTCCTGGTTTTCCTTCCCTACCTGTCTGTTTAGTGGTAGCAGCTCTTCTGTTTCCCACCAGGGGTGTCCTGCCCGTTCCCACACCCCATGCCCCATGCACGTCCTCCTGGCTCGGCCGCCCAGCCTGGCACAGCCAGTGGCCAGGGCGCAGGGGTGCGGCTTAGCCGGGCCGCTCTCCTGCCCGTCCCCTGTGCAAAGGGCCTTGAGCGTCTCTCCTCAGCAGAGGGCTTAGCACGTGACGGCCCCCCAGGGTCCAGTCCCAGCTGCTGCTGCTGTGCACTGGCTCTGAGAGGGGATGACCTCACCTCTGCATAGTGGGGCATGAGGTGCCTCCCAAGCCTTCCTCTGCCAGTTGGGGAGATACTGTTTCTCTGCTGTCACGGTCCTTCCTCCCTGTGCTGGGCAGTTGAGGAGGTTGAGGATCAGGGTTGGTGTCAGCAGAGGCCAAAGGTCCTTTCCCTGAGAGTCAGAGCCAGGAGGTGGCCACAGTGTGGTCAAGGCCCCCAGAGCAACCTGCAGCTGCTCTGTGGCTGTGACCTTCTCCCTGCCAGTGGCCCCTGCGCTGCCTGCAGGTGTGGGCGGGACCTTGGGCCTGGGTGTGAGTGTGGGCGCCTGGGGCAGGGTGCCCACCCAGGTTGGGGTCTGCTCTGGGAACACAGTGCTGTTGCTTCCTGCCCAGCATGCAGGGCAGGTCCCTCTGCCTCTCAGGCCTCAGCTCCTTCACCTGCAGCCGAAGCTCCTTCCCTCCTGCACGTAGTGCATACTGGGATGGAGGGTCTGGGCCCCTCTTCTGCGCAAAGGGATGCCCCACGAAGACAGTGCAGGTCCCGGCTGAGAACTGATGTGTGAGGGAGAGCAGCCGCATATGTCAGGCCCCCTGCTGCAGGCGTGGGGGCCAGAGGGCTGTGCACCCCACCTGCTCATCCAGGGAGATAGAAGACAGTTAAATCTGTAACCGTTCCGTGTTGTCTTTTAAACAAGGGTATGTGACTTTTTCTTTTTATAATAAAAACAAAACAGCCCCATGCTGAGAGGCAGGAGAGAAAGGAAAGAAGAAGAAAACAGAACATCTGTCTCTGGGTCCCGGGAGAGCAGAGGGGTGATGGTGCAGTCCGGGCCCCAGTGGCTCGGTCCCTGACTGCCCCCTCCTCTGCAGGGAGCCGAGTGCCGTCCATTGAGAACGTCCTGCAGGATGGCAGCCCTGAGCCCTGCAGCCGTGGCCAGCCAGGCACACCTGCCGACATCTACCTGCCAGGTGACAGCATTGGCCCATGGTGTCGGGGGACATGCAGTGGCTCAGCTGTCCCCATGGCACTGGGGACCTGCTGTCTGCTTAGGGAGGGGCTGGCCCATGGGGAGCCCCCTCCCTCTCCCTGTCTCTGATCCTATGCTCCTTCCGTTGACCTGCAAAGCACGGCCAGGCCAGGGTTCCATAGTCACCTTGCAGCCCCTGGCTCTTGGGGGCAGCACTTGGCTGAGACCCCTTTTCACCCCGAAACCAGCTCAGCCTTGGGAAGGCGGAAGAGGCTTCTTGTTTAAAGCCAGGCAGGCAGATCTGGTCCCACTGCATCGCTATCTTTCTTCACCTGTGGGCTGTGCCCGGTGCCCCAGCAGCAGGGCCTCTGCCACAGGCAGCTGCAGACAGAAACCTGCCTGTCTGCCCCAGGTTTGACAAGGGCCACTATCCTCCACCACTGGCTGGGGGAGCTGACAGGCTTCATGGTCCCCAGGGAAGGCAGCACGTCTGGGCCAGGGTGCAGGACACAGGCCAGGGCACGAGGTGTGAGCAAGGCTCAAGGGCATGCAGGGCCTCCTCTTCCAGGCTTCTGCTCAGGGCCTTGTGGCCTCAGCTCTGCTCTCTGTTCCTCTGGGTCAAGATCCTCAGTTTTAGGGCCTGGGCCCCAAAGACGGGGGACAGGCATTGGGGGCTCTCAGACATTTGTGCCCGCCACCTGCTGTAACATCCCATGAGGTTCTGTAATCAAGATAAAAAGCCACGTTGCCCTCAGAGAGCCTGGCTCCTACCTTGTGACTGGGAGGCCCCTTCTCACCCCTGATCGGCCCCAGGAGCCACCATTGCCTGGTCCCCTGGTCTGGGCTTGAGAGGCTGTGACATGCTTTGGTCTGAAAGGGCCTCTTGTCCCTGGGCTTCTGGATGAGCAGTGGCCTGTGCAGACAGAGGGTCCAGTCAGAGGACGGGGGGTTACCAGGTGTGAGAAGGGAGGGCAGAGATTGGGTCACTGACATACAAGAGCCTATCCAAAGGAACCTATGGTGAAAGCTGTGTCTGGGACCTTAGGGAAACACAGAATTCCAGCAAGTTCTTTCAGAGGACTTATTATTGCATTAAGATGAAAACCTGGGTGGGAGCAGAGGATCAGAAGAAGGATTCAGCTTCCTGGAGCCACAGGTGTGAGCCCTGCTCCTGCAGGGTGGCCCCTGGGTGCGGCAAGGGGCACCCTGACCCCACACAGCCTCTTTAGGGCCACCTGCACCCCTCAGCCCTCTAGTGGCCCGCGGAGCATTCAGGTGTCAGCAGGTCAGGACAGGCCACAACCAACTGGCCCAGCCCACAGGTGAGACCAGCACCTCTGGCTCTGCCCCCAGGCGGGTGTCTTGGGCTTCCTTTAGCGCCGCACTGGGAGCCGAGACAGTTGGCTGTGGAGGTGGTAGAGGAGAGGCCGCAGGGGCCGAAGGCCGGCCGTGGGGCCTGATGGGACGGCAAGGTCGGGTGCTGTCATGGCTCCTGGGCTCGGCGCCGGCTCAGCGCGCTGCCCACTCTGCAGGGTGGGGCTCATTCTTGATGTCAGAGCAGAGAGGAGGCTGTGCCGTTCCATCCTGCATCCGCTCCCCACGAGCATAGCTGCTCAGCACCTGGGGCCGGGCAGGGGTCCTCATGGTCAGGCTCACCTCTTGAGTCACCCACGCCCACACTGGCGCCCTCTGTTCTCCTGCCTTTCTCCCTTAGCGGGAACCCTGCACATCTCCACGTCTGTGTGTGTGTTTCAGAATGGGGGGACACACTCGGTCTCCACAATTGCACAGCGCCCCCTGGTGGATGGAGCATAATTAGTAAAGCTACTGTCCCCTGTGGATGGGAAAAAAGGAGGTGGGAGGAAATCCATAGAACGGTGAAATCCTTAGATGCGTGGCATCCCAGCAACCTTGAGGGTGGCGGCCCTTCCCGAACCTCACCCTCCCCCGGGTTCTGCCGGCCCCAACACGTCCCACCCTGGGCTGAGTTCCTCTGCATAGCACTGAGCCCAGTGCTGTTTCTCAGATGTTTTCGGCGTGTCTTTTTTTCCGTGTCAGCACATCTGTTTGTGCGGGCATTTGTTTCCACTGTGTCCTGCCCACCCCCAGCCCAGCACTTTGTCCTAAAGCCGGTGCCTCTGCCCTGGAATGTGCTGGCCCCTTCGAGCGCTTTGCTAACTGAGCTTCCGTCTCTCTCCTCCTCTGCACAGCCCTGGGGCCCGGCTCCTGCTCTGGTGGTTTAGAGGAGTAAGCTGGTACGTGATGCCTTCACACGAGTGGCGGGGGCTCTGCGGGCGGCCTCTGCAGGATGCCAGAGAGAGGACCCCAGCCGCTCTCCCTCTCCTGCTCCCGCTGGGGTCTCCTTCCCATTTTTCCGGGCTCCTTCCACATCCATGTCTTCTCCGGGCCCTGGATTCTGAATTCAGAGCTCTCCAGACACCGCTGCGGAGGTCCCCTGAGAGGTGGTCTTGGGGGTCCGATGTAGGCTTTTAGACCCAGAGGATACTCCGTCTGGACCAGGTGACCCAGTCAGGCTCTTGTAGCCTCGAGGGTCCCCAGGATCAGTGATTCAGCCCCCAGCTGAGACCCTGCTGTGGCTGACAACTAACCTATCCCTCCACCCACCTCTGGAACCTTCTGGAACCCCAGCACACTCTGATGTCTGTGAGGTGGTCTTATGAGGTTGTCTCCCCACCTGACAGGGAGGTGCCCTCTCCCCAGGCAACCCAAACACGTTTTTACAGGAGGCAGTCCCGAGAGTACCACCGGAATAGGCAGATGTGTCGGGGACCCCCACCCCTCCTTCAGGTGACATCAGCCCCTCCAGGAAGTCTGGTGATGAGAACCTGGTGCCTTGGTGGCCACACAGGCCTTGTCTTCCTTGAACCTTTCTTGTGACGAAGCTAACCCTCTACTGAAGTAGGACCCAGCACTGTTACAAGGGTGGTCCCAGCCTCAGCCATGGGAGATGCTGAGTTTTGCCATTTATGTAAAACTTCCAGAAATAGGGAGCAGGTCTGACTCAGCCACCGAGAACTGCATGGCAGAGCCGGCTTCCCGTGAAGAGACCCTTCACAGAGTCGCCAAGTGTCCGTCACAGGCTGTGGGGGGCTGCTTGGTTTGCCATTTGAAGCTGCCCTGGAGCCCTGCGTGCAGGTGGTGGGCGGCCCTGGAGGTGTGCCGCTCCCCCTGCTCCCTCCCCGCTCCACCAGGGACCGGCCCCTCCCAGCACCCTGTGAGTGCCGCATGGAGTTGACAGGAAAGGCCTCTGAGGAGGGCAGGCTGGGGCCCCTGCTGGGTGCACCCAGGTCCCAGCCGCTCCCCTCTGCCTGCGTTGGCTGAGTTCCAGCCCCTATTCCAGGGGTAAAATCGCTGCAGAACCGCAGCTGGTCAGAGCCCAGGAGCATGAGTGCCAGCAGCCCCAGGCACCCCATTGCCTTCAGTTCCAGGGCTGTGGTTCTGTTGCTGGCACCCAGGGGTGATCTGCTTTAAGACGGACAGGCTGGCTCACTCTGGCCACATGGCAGGGCTGCTGGTGGGAACCCAGAGCCTGGCGGTAAAGGGAGCAGTGAGGCCAGACAGTTAAGCCAAACATGACCCTCTCTCTTTCCCATTGCAGGATGGTCCACCTCCATGGAGACGCCCCGCAGCCTCCACGCCACTGGGCCCCCTCGGCCTCCACTTGGTGGCCCCAGTCCTGACCCCAGGGTCACTGAGCTGACCCCACTCTGAGAGCCTGGCCAGGCTGGCAGCATGGAGCCCTCAGCTCCTCAGACTTTGCCAAGAGGTTGCCCGGACTCCAGGGTGACCTCTGGCCTCTCCTGTCTGCACGCCCTGCATGGTCACTGGCTCCAAGGGGCCACGTGACCCTTGATTGAAGAGCACAGTTGACTGTCCCCTCTGACAACCCCCGTTTTCTACGGTTGACATGTTTGTAAATGGTACAAGATGAAGGACGGTGGTTTCCTGTCCCGGGAGCTGAGCGCGCCAGGATCTCTCCCCAAATGTCCTGCCCACATGCAGCCTGGATGAGCCTCACCCAGCCCGGGGGGTAGATGCTCAAGAACTCAGCAAACCTGAAAGTTTATTGGCAGGTGAAGTGCTATCTTCCCAGGCAGTGCCGGGGTGGGGGGGCCTTGTGGGAGGGAAGGAAGTGGGGTCCGAGTCTCAGTCAATGAAGGAAATAGTGCCTGTCCCCTCCCCATGTGCTCGGACTCCCTCCCTCTCCCCCCTCCCCCCTCTCCCAGCCCAGCACCCTGCCAGGCCAAGAGGCAGCGAGGCAGGTGGGGTCTGGCTGTTGTCAGCGGTTGTGTCCAGGGGCCCCTCTCTGAGCCCCACACCTTCTCAGAGGCAGCTTTGCCCATATTGGACCCTTGGGGTGGGGGGCCCCACTTGGCGCTGCTGCCCACCTGCCCACCCGCCTCAGGAGGGCCTGAGTGGCTCTCAGCTCCCTCTCTAACGGCACTTCACATTTCTCTCTGATGTGTTCTGTTTGGGGTTTCTGCATTCTGACCTGCCTGGGGACAAGGGTCCCATCCGTGTTTTGTTTTTTTTTTAAGATAAACCTTCTGGGCAGCAGAAGGGCAGGGGGGACACTTGGCCCTGATGCCCCCAGGCGAGAGTGGCCCCAGGAGGACCTTGAGCCCGGTGGGTGGGTCTGCAGCTCCTGGGGTGCGACCGCTTTCCTGGCAGGAGGGAGACGGGCCCACTTCCCAAGGAGCTGCCCTGGGCAAGACGGTTCTGGGGTGGCCAGCAGCACAGCCGGAGGCCCGTTGAGTGGGAGACTCGGGGGTGGACGACTCCTCTTCTCTCCAGTTGAGCCTGTGAGCAGAGGCCACACTCGGGGCAGCCTGCCCTGGCTGCTGGCTCCCTGCCTCCCCTCCCTTCCCACCCACCATGTGTCCCTGGGTGCACGGGTGCCAGTGCACGCACACGTGCGTGTGTACACACACACACACATGTGCGCGCGCGCACACACACACGGTGACCACTTCCCTCTCCTCACCCCTCCACAGCAGCCAATGCCCTGGCCTCTCACTAACGGTATTGGTGCCAGTAACTCTGAAGGACGGGACGCAGACTGGCCTGTCTTGGACTTACATGTGCTATCATTTGATGTACTCTGATTGGCTAGTTTTTGTTCGTTTTTAACTGTATATTTATAGTAATAAAATCATGCAGCAATACCCTGTCCAATCCTTCGTCTGTGCATAGCACCACAAGACCGAGGCTGCTTCTTGGTTGGGAGGCAGGACAGCTGAGTGGTGGCGGCTCTGACACCCTCATGGCAGTGCACGCACCCCCTTGTGGCTGTAGCCTCCGTTACCTCGCATGTAAGATGTCGGTGACCCACGACTTCCAGCAAGGCGTGAGGACTGCTGGTTATTACTCTTGTGGTCATTGTCATGATGTTCATTGTTGGGTTGGAGCAAAAGGGAGGCACCCTTGGGACTTGACTGTGTGTCCTGAGCAGGTGGGAGAGCCCCGGGCCTCCAGGTGTGTGAGTCGCTGCAGCCACATTACCTGCATCCCACTGCTGTAAACTGAGTGCCTGCTGTGCCTGCAGAAGGCAAAATGGGCAAGGCGCCTGGGTGTCCTGGTCAGTGAGACACCACACAGGTAATCCATGTCTCCCCAGGTCTCGTTACTGTTAAGAAGAGTCAGCAGGTAATGAGACAAAGTTAATTTAACCTGTGGTTGGGGAGGGCTTCTCTGAGACTTTTTGGTTGAGCCCTGAAGGATGCTAAGGAGCTGGCCCAGCAAGTGCAAAGGCCCAGAAGCAGGAGTGGGCCTAGTGTGTCCACCAAGTAGCTGAAGCATCAAGAGTCGGAGGTGGTGGGGTGGAGACACCCTGTGGGGGCAGGCAGAGTTTTAGTCTAGGAACAATCACAGGTTTCCAAGCAAAGGAGCAACTTTCTCCAGCTGTCACGTGAGGAACGGATTGGCAGGACAGGACAGGTTTGGCTGCCAGGATGCTGGAGCCCAGCCAGGGCCCTCTGCTTGGCCTGAGCTCCCCTGCCTGGTGAGTAGGGAAAGGCTGGCACCCAGAATGCCCACTGCAGCACTGTTCGAACCACTGCTGGCCAGCGGGGCCCCTAGCTCTGTGGTAGACATCGTTTCAAGCAGCCTCCTTCGGTTCCCCCAGTGCAGGCACTTAAGGGTGGAGCCAGTGTTCTAAGCCAACTTGTCCTACGTCAGGGAAGGCCTGCCATCCTCGCTGGTGCCTGGGTCTGGCATGTCCCGGTGTGGGAGAAGGGCGTTTAGTGCCACATGGGTTCTTGCATGGGCTACACTGGCTCTTCCTCCTCACTGTCCCCAAATGACCCAGCTCCCTTATTAATAATGTCTGTGAGCTGGAGGCAGGGTCCTTTCTGAATGAACCCTTCCCCTTGCTGACCTCCCCGGAATCTGGCTTCCCCCTGCCAGCTGTGGTTGCCCCAACTGAGCCCTGACCCCTGGCAGAGAGCCACGGTGGGGGAAAGGCTACCTCTGGGTCCTTACTCCCCGTGGACAGAACATTGACTTTCCTGATAGAGCACCACCTTGGACCCGTAAGTGAGCTTCTGGCAGATCCTACCAACCCTTGCCTGCCTTCTGCCCCTCTCGCCTCCTGCTCGGTCCCACTTAGGGCACCCTTCCCTGTGCCACAGAGCTTACCCTCACAGCACCACTCTCCCAAGGGGCTGGTGCATGAGTGGCACCAGAACAGGATTCAGGGAGCAGCCGCACTACTCTCCCTCGGACAGTTTCTGATGCTTTCGAGCCCCACAACTTCATTCCCCTGTACAGAAGCCGGGTAAGTACCTCATGCCCCCTTTCCTGGAAGCTTTCTGCTGCGGACATTGGGTAGGAGATGGTGGGACTCTAGGGTGGGATCCTGGTTCTCACAACCTGCTGGATGCCCTCAGGCAAGTCTTGTTCGTCTCAGTGCCGAGTCCGTTCTTGGCTCCCGCCAAGTGGGCTGTCGCATTGCATCCTGGCTCCTGTAGTTTTAGGGAATGGTGGGCGGGGCCCGCTCGAGGCGCGCGGCTATTGGGTGGACGGCTGGGGCACGCACCGCCTTTCCCTTTGCGCACGCACCTTCCGCCTTGCAACGACGCGTCGGAGGGCGGCGTTAAGCTGTGCCCTGATACACGCCAGCGATTGGTGGAGAGGCGGGGCTCTGGTGCGAAGCTGCCCGAGGATTGGCCAGGCGCGGTGGAGGCGGGCCCGCGCATGCACTTAAGAGGCGGCGCTGGGGCAGCACTGGGTACTGGCAAGATGTCGACAGCAGCGGTCCCTGAGTTGAAGCAGATAAGCAGAGTGGAGGCGATGCGCCTGGGGCCAGGCTGGAGCCACTCGTGCCACGCCATGCTGTATGCTGCAAACCCCGGGCAGCTCTTTGGCCGCATCCCCATGCGCTTCTCGGTGCTGGTGAGGACATAGGCAGGCGGGCTGGCGGGGACTGGGCGCCACTCGGGCCCGCGTCCGTGACCTGGAGCTCTCTTGCAGATGCAGATGCGTTTCGACGGGCTGCTGGGCTTCCCCGGGGGATTCGTGGACCGGCGCTTCTGGTCGCTGGAGGACGGACTGAACCGAGTTCTGGGCCTGGGCCTGGGCTGCCTGCGCCTCACAGAGGCCGACTACTTGAGCTCGCACCTGACCGAGGGCCCGCACCGCGTCGTGGCGCACCTGTACGCGCGGCAGCTGACCCTGGAACAGCTG